CTGAGGAACTTGTCCATAGCAACATGGGCCTCTGGGGTGAAATCGTTGGGGAACATAGTGGCCAGAACCACGAGGATGTTGTGGGACAGAATCTATGAAAAACACAGGAAACAAATAAGTTACCGTGACTTTACGAGAGTAGGCCTACGACAGAATCGGAATTGACTAAAGATGAAATTCGTTGCACTTACCTTGAAATTGGCGGGGTCAACGCGCAGCTGGAAAGCATGAAGCTCGCTGAGGTTCAGGAGCCCAGAGGTAAGGTCATTGATTTTGCTGACAGCCTCAGCAACACCGCTCATCATGGTCTTCCCGTGCTTCCTCACTGGGGCAGAGCCGGGGCTCAGGTCCTTCCAGTGAGAGAAATAGGTTTTGGTCTGGGGGTAGACCACCAACATCCTAGACAGACACAGTGAATTGAATGGCAGATCTATGCCCGAAGAAAACATTATGACTTAGCTTAGATTAATAACCTTACCTAGAAACAGCATCTTGACCAATGTCATCAGCCTTTTCTGAGATCTTGGCCCAAAGGTCTTTGATGGCAGCTTTGTCTTTGGCAGAGAGACTCATCGTGGAAGGATGACTTTGCAGCAAACTTCTGTAGTCTGCTGGCAAGAGGACTGGCGGTTTTATACTGTCACCAGGAAGATACACCCAAGACCCTCCTCTCACCCCCAACGATGACTTATCAGACCGTGGAAGAGTGCCAAAATGTTTAACTTTTTTTCACGACTTTCTTGCTTCTTCTTCTTTTAATACACTTTTATTCAAACATTTAGCAATTCATTAATTCATTTAATAATTAATAATCTATAACTTGAATGAATATCATAAGTCAATACTCCTGTCCATTTTGTTTTATTTTGTTGTGTTACTGCAAAACTACAGAATACAACTTTCCACATAATGAGCAATTCAAAATATGTAGCCTACAACTTTTTTTTCGAAAAAAAATCGCTTAATCTGTTAATATTTTTCTTTCTTTCTTTCTTTCTTTCTTTCATTAACTTTAAGGGTTGTTGTACATGTGACCTTTTATAACCATTATACACACCTTACAGTAACCTTGTCTCGCCATGAAAAAAATAAAATGATCAAATTTAAAATGATACTTTAAAAAGATTTTTGACTTTGACAGACATGAGGGTCTGCAGGGGTCCTCTCTATGATAAAGTGTTCTAAAAAAAATTCTACCTCTCTCTCTCTCTATATATATATATATATTGCCTTCATGTTGGTTACACTTTGATTTGACAGATGAAAGTTTTTAAAATTTTAATAATATTTTACCAAAACTACTTCATAGTTCTTTTTTTTCTTCTAAGGAATAGTAATGAAGAATTATGCTTGACGGCATACCACACTTAAAGGCATAGTTCACTCAAAACTGAAATGTCTGTCATCATTTACTCACCCTCTAGTCATTCCAAACATGTATGACTTTCTTTTTTTGTGCAACACAAAAGAAGGTGTTTTGAAGAACGTGAATAAAAAAATGTGAGTTTTTTTTTTCCCATTGACTTCTACAGTATTTTTCTTTTGTTCATACAATGAAAGTCAATGGGACTCAAAAGTGTTTCGCAACCAACGTTCTTCAAAATATCTGATCTACAGAAGAAGAAAAAATGGGTTACACATTATTTTAAGGTGTCCTTGTTACAGTGTAATTATACATTTAAGTACTGAGTAATATTAATTAACTACATGCACTTACTATATGTGACCCTGGAGCACAAAACCAGTCTTAAGTAGCACTGGTATATTTGTAGCAATAGCCAAAAATACATTGTATGGGTCAAAATTATCAATTTTTCTTTTATGCCAAAAATCATTAGGACATTAAGTAAAGATCATGTTCCTTGAAGATATTTTGTAAACTTCCTACCATAAATATATCAAAACTTAATTTTTGATTAGTAATATGCATTGCTAAGGACTTCATTTGGACAACTTTAAAGGCGATTTTCTCAGTATTTTGTTTTTTTTGCACCCTCAGATTCCAGATTTTCAAATAGTTGTATCTCGGCTACATACTGTCCTATCCTAACAAACCAGACATCAATGGAAAGCTTATTTATTCAGATGGTGTATAAATCTCAATGTCAAAAAATGGACCCTTATGACTGATTTTGTGCTCCAGGGTCACATATGGTTAGGATTGGGGTTTGGCTTAGGGTTACTTGCATGTAATTATGCATCATTTATTGCTATTATAATAGTAAGTACATGTAACATGTGTAACAAGGACACCTTAAAATAAAGTGTTACCAAAAAATGCATACAGGTTTGGAAGGACATTGAGGACAATTTTCATTTTTGGCTGACCTATCCCCCAAAACTGGTCAAAATTGACAATGAGAAGCAATAAAGAAGATAGACGGAATTTAACAGATGAAGGTGGAATCAAGCTTGATAAAGAAAGAGATAATCACATTATCAGTGAGCGTGGCGTCACAGCCCGGCACAGACAGCAGCTGCCGCACAATGTCCACGTGTCCGTGTTCACAGGCACACATGAGCGCTGTGGAGCCGTCATCATCCCGCAGGTTCACCTGAGCTCCACAGGACAGCAGAGCTCTCACCATGTCCCCTCTGCCATGACTGACCGCCAGCATCAGCGCCGTCTGCCCCGCCTACAACACCACACACACACACTCACACACACACACACACACACACACACACACACACACGCATCAGTATAATACACTGACTGACATATACTGAAGTACACCGAGGGACCAGAAGGGGGTGCACCTGGCTGGCTTTGGCGTTGACGTCTCCGGTGCAGAGCAGCTGTAGGACGGTTTGAAGGTCACTGTCAGAGTTGAAGGCAGCCAGAGCTGTCAACATGATAGCTGTGTAACCAGCCTTGTTCTGCTTGTCAGCATTACAGAGACCTACGAAACAAGGACAGCTGATAAATAAGAGCTACAGATATATCTCTGTCACATGCTAAATAAAAAGTACTGACATATTTTCGGCCACAAATACACTACTGTTCAAAGGTTTGGGGTCAGTACGTTTTTTTTTAAAGGAACGAATTCTTTAAAAGATGCATTAAATTGAATAAAAGTGACAGTAAAAAAAACATTTATAAAGTTACAGAAGATTCTATTTCAAATAAATGCTGTTCTTTTTAACTTTTTATTTATCAAAGAATCCTAAAAATGTATCATGGTTTCCACAAAAATATGAAGCAGCACAACTGTTTTCAACATTGATAAAAATAATAAATGTTTCTGGAGCAGCAAATCAGCATATTAGAATGATTTCTGAAGGATCCTGTGACTGGAGTAATGATGCTGAAAATGTAGCTTTGCATCACAGGAATAAATTACATTTTAAAATATATTTAAATAGAAACAGTTGTTTTAAATTGTAATAAAATTTTACAATATTACTGTACTTTTTAATCAAATAACTGCAGTCTTAGTGAGCAAACGGTTTAAAAACACTGAAAAATCTTACCAACCTCAAAAATCAAACAGCATTAAACATTTAATTTAAAATATTAATAATAAAATATGTGACCCTGGAGCACAAAACCAGTCATAAGTACAATAGTCAAATAGTCAACAATACATTGTATGGGTCAAAATTATAGATTTTTCTTTTATGCCAAAAATCATTAGGATATTAAGTAAAGATCATGTTCCATGAAGATATTTAGTAAATTTCCTACTGTAAACATATTAAAACTTAATTTTGATTTGTAATATGCATGGCTAAGAACTTCATTTGGACAACTTTAAAGGCGATTTTCTCAGTATTTAGATTTTTTTGCACCCTCAGATTCCAGATTTTCAAATAGTTGTATCTCGGCCAAATATTGTCCTATCCTAACAAACCATACATCAATGGATGATGTATAAATATCAATTTAAAAAATTGACACTTATGACTGGTTTTGT